ACGTTCCTAGTGCAGGTGCTACTGCAGAAAGGAAAGAAGGTGGGCAGAGGAAGAGAGCTGGTGGGGAGAATGGAGGGAAGGATGTAGCTCTTGATGGGAGACGCAGGTTGGACGTGCAGGGGGCTCCCCACAGCCACTGTTGTACCAACTCTCCTCAAGGAAATTCAGATCTCACTGCTGCCCAGTCATGGCGGGCTCAAGGCAACCCTACAGGACAGGGAGGCGCTGCCTCGGGGTTTTTCAGAGACTGTACCCCTTTACCTGAGTCGAAAGCTTCCTCTTTCTCCAGAGGAACGGCTGGTGTTTTCGACCGCCTGACCTTGTGGTTAGCAGTCCCACACATAGCCCCTAGGCCACAGGGGCTCCCACAGGAAAAGACGAGAGGGCTTCAGAAAGTCATAGGAAAATGGGATGAAGAGACTGGGATTCCCCCCTCTGGCTCCCTGACTTCCACGGAGGTGTGGGAAGTCAGGGCAGCACAGCTGCAGCCAGGTGGGAGAAAGGCCGCCAGGGAGCCGGGCCCACAGACTCTGCAGGAACCCCGTCGTTCTCTCCAAACGGCTTGTGTTTCCCCGAGAGTGACCACCAGAAAGGTCCACAGCTGTCTGGAGATCAAAGGAGCCTGGCTGGGTGCCCGCTCTGGGTGCCTCCTACAAAGGCCTGACCCCATTCCTGGGCTCTGGCTCCGCCTTGCTGGCTCCCTTCCAGAGCAGCCCTGCGCAGGCCCCTTCCCCCTGACTGGGGTGGGGGTGGGGGGTGCGGCTTCTCCTCCCCCAGAAACTCCATCCCTCCCGTGCCCCTCGCCCAGCCTCTGGGAGCATGTGGCCTGCCTGCCTGCATATTCCAGGTTATTTCAACCCTGCGCCACCCTCCTTATTCCTCGGCTCCCAGGATAGCTCCCTTGGCCCACACCTGATATCCGCTTCTGGTGCCCTTGAGCCTTTCCTGAATCGTAGGGTGAGTGCCAGGGCCTGGCATAGCCTCGCCCAACCACTGACAAGGCCAACCTTGAAACCAGATCGTTCGCCCGCTGAAGAAGAAAGAGCCGCGTGTGTTCCTCACGGACGTCCTCCCTGCCTCCCACGTCAGGACAGACACACATTTTCTTTCTTTCTTTCTTTTTTTAAAAATCATTTTATTAGGGGCTCATACAACTCTTATCACAATCCATACATACATCAATTGT